CGGGTATTGTGCATAGCAATTTTGAGATTGTCAAGAGTCTCCTGATGGTATCGTGGGTCCCGTGTGAGAAATTGAAACGAGCAACGTTCATACCGGCACGAAGGAGCTTCTCGAGCATAGGCACTGTTCTAGAAGCAGGACCCAAAGTGCATACAATCTTTGTCTTGGGGATACGACTACCACTACCACTACCATATGATGGCAGCTCCTTCAATATTCCCTCAATCCCTATATTTGCCATTTTTTACTAACCCCCCACTCTCTTCCTTCTTTCTAAATCCACAACCAAAAACAAAAATAATTAAATCAATATTTCTTTTTCTTTTTTTTCCCCTATAATCAAACTACTCAAAGCATTAACAAATTTAAGTAATTAAATGAGTTGATGAATGTTCTACATAATCGATAGACAATAATTTCATGAGCCAAACAAAACAAATATAAAAACAAATAAATAGTGAAAGGCACACAGAAATGTTTAACGATTTCCTGTAAATAATTGAATGATCTTATAATTTGTATGTAAATAAATATTGCACAGAAATGGAAGCAGTTGAACATGAAGTGAGAGAATAAACAAAGTCAACAGTTGGCGGAAAAAAAAACACGAAGATGATGGTGAAAGGAAGTTGATGAGAGACTAACCAGTGCAGAGTTGAGATAAGCGAAAGCAGCTGCAGGAAGGAGATGGTGAGATCTCTATCTCTCTATCTCTATCTCTCTTATCTCTCTCTGTCTCAGTGGTGTCTATTCTCAAGAACTCTGACTCATCTTTTTTAAGCCACGTGCGCAATTTTGTCATTAAAAGGGCGAATACCGGAAACCGGATATTCCATCCACAGATTTTACTTCGTTTCATTCAATCTACTATTTGCACTACACATTTTACTTCTATCATATAATTTTCAATATTTATTTCAAAATCTTGTTGGGATCTACATTCATAGGTATTCAAAGTTTAAATTTTTTCTATCTTGCAAATTCTTTGAACAATAAATTCATCAATTAGACATAATTTATTAGCATGCTTTTGATCATGTGTTTAAATAAATTCAAATAAAACATGCGAATCACGTAATTAAATAAATTAATCCTATTAATTAACGAGATTCGATTACATATCCGTTAAAACGTACTTAGAACGCCATCTCTGTGATCTTACTGAAGTCCTAAGTTGAGCAATTCCATAACGCCAACGCCGTCTCTGTGATCTTACTGAAGTCCTAAGTTGAGCAATTCCATGAGATTCGGTGGAGAAAAGTTGTCTAGTTGTGTGTTGTCATCATGTTCTTTTTCTACCCACCACCTCTATTTATAGGTATTTATAAATCCTAGTCCAAGTATAATTATAATTCCGGCAAAATGAGTTTTTTAGTCCTGTAAGTTTACTAGTCGAGAGTTTTAGTCCACCATGTTTCAAAATCAGAATTTTAGACCTGCAAATTACAAAAATTGGGAATTTTGGTCATATGACCTGCTATAACAGGTAATGTGATGGTTGATTGAATGAGTTAGTATTTAAAGGGATAATTACATTTTTGGTCCCTCATGTTTGGCCCGATTTCACTTTTGGTCCCCCTTGTTCCAAAGTGAACAAAGTTCACCTCCAAGTTTCAATTTTAAACATTTTTGGTCCCCGCCGTTACATATCCGTTAGCAAGTAACGGAAAACACTATTTTGAGATGAAAATTTAAATTTTAAAATCTTTTGGGGCTGAAAATAATTATAAATTTAAATTAGACTGCTTATATTTAATAATAAAAAAATAAATCAACGAAACAAGTTTTGTAATATACTTAATATTATTATAATTATACTACTAATAATTATTTTTTTAATAATAAAAAAATTAATTAAATAAATTATTTTAATCATACTTAATATTGTTTTTAATTATGATAAAAAAATTAATAACAAAAAAATAAATTAACTAAACAAATTATTTTTAATTATACTAAATATTATTATAATTGTACTACTTATAATTAAACTTTTAATAATAAAAAATAAATTAACTAAAAAAGTTAATTTTAATTATACTAGTATTTTTAATTATACTAGTTATAATAAAAAAATAATAATAATAAAAGAAGAAATTAGCTAAACAAGTCATGTATAATTATACTTAATATTATTATAATTATACTACTTATAATTAATTTTTTAATAATAAAAAAGAAATTAACTAAATAAATTATTGTGCATTATACTTAATATTAGTTTCATTATACTACTTATGATTATTTTTTAATAATAAAAAAAAGAAATTAACTAAATCAATTTCATTATACTTAATATTATTAAAAGTTTAATTATAAGTAGTCTATTTTACATTTCTAATTATTTTTCAGCCCCAAAAGATTTAAAAATTTATTTTTCGCCCCAAAATAGTGTTTTCATTTACTTGCTAACGGACACGTAACGGCAGGGACAAAAAATGTTCAAAATTGAAACTTGGAGGTGAACTTTGTTCACTTTGAAACAAGGGGGACCAAAAGTGAAATCGGGCCAAACATGAGAGACCAAAAGTGTAATTATCCCTATTTAAAGCATAAAAATAAACATATTAAAATTAAATTAGGTGATGTGGCTAATGTGTTGGATGATTTTGGAGGGACATAAAATGTAACATCAAATTATTGTTTTATTTGATGAATTAAATATGCATTTTTGTAGTAACTATTTTGTAAATATTTTATAGTTTTCAATTAATAAGAATAATAATTAATTATATGTAATTACTTGTTATGGATATTTGTTACTCTTGGTTTGATAACATATTTTATATTTGAAGGCTCTAGAATGCCCTTTTGGTACATTAATTTAATTGATTTTTGGTACATTTTATTATTTTTTTGTTAATTCGTAAATGTGTATTTGGTTTTGTATACTAATTATGATTGTGCGTGTTATTTAACTTTACAACAAGTTTTAATAAAAAAAAAAAAAATCGTATTTTCGTTGAATTTGATTGTTGGTTGAATTTCCTTGCAATCATTGATCATAGATTTGTAAAGCAATGAACTATTTAGATGAATTACTATTTTTATCAAATAAAAACTAAGAAATAATACTTAAACATTAGTTAGTATTATTTCCTTTAGAAAAATGTAATGGTAGATTTTATTCAATGGTATATTGAGGTTCTTTATGTTGGGATGTGAAGCCCAGGATTCAATGAAAATTCGCAAGATGTTCTAGATTAGCCGGTTTTAATTTTATTAACATGCTTTGATTAGATTCGTTTAAAGCGGAATAAATCTAATCTAGCAACTTACAATTTTCGCGAGCAGATCCGTTTCTATCTTCGGCGCACGAACGAGGATCCACACCAAGCCTTCAATCCTCGAAGAACTGTTGTCCAGAAATTTCCATTCATCTTCCCTCACCGATATCTCCGCGACGGCTGAACCGATCGAGAAACCCTTCGGACAGATTGTAGATCTAAGGGTTAGGAAGCTACTATATAAATTTCGAGCCTATCCGACTAACGGTTGATTTATGGTGATTTTCTTCGCAGGACTGCTCAGCAAATTCGGGATTTATAGTTTGCTCTAAAAACCTATAATCTTCTATTGTATATCCCGGATTAATAATTCTTCTACAAGGGTGTACTTGTACTTGAAGAAACCTGAACCTATAATCGAGAAATTTAGAGAGAAAAGAAGAAGAAGAAAAAATCTTCTCTTCCAACGTAAATAGGCGTGTAGGAGTTAATTATCCTCTCATCAACCTAATCTCTATTATATATAGCACAAGGAATTAGAGTCCCACATAGAGAGGATTACATGGAAACAAATCCCACTCCTTCTATAACTCTATATAGTCGAAAATTATAATCCAAAGGGGACTTAATTTTCGGCTATATTAATTCCAATATATAATATTAGTTGAACTTTATTTTCTCGATTAATTAGAAAATCCATTGGGCTACAATAGGGACTAAAGGAGAAAATATAAATCGGGCAACTAATAATTAATTAAATCCAAACTCTTAAAAGAATTCATTTAATTAATCATTAAATAATTATTTATTTTCCACTACCAAATAATTATTGAACTCCCGTTTATATTCTCAAATATTACATTCGAGCTCCGGTCGATCATTACTTAGATTCTCCCCACATTAAGATATCTTATAACCACCAAATAATTTATTCACTGCTAAATAAATTAAATGGTTTCTTTTCATGAGTCTTGCCCGCTTAACTTATTTGAGTATGCCGGATACGAAATCCACCTGGCCAGGACTTGGCATAAACAAATCTTATATGCTACTCAAGGGTTATTATCAATCTCATATTTCAGAGATGTGGATTCCTTTCGATAATTAATTTCCACCTATTAATTCTTAATGTCTCTACCCAACGCGGGGGCCATTTGACTCAATATAGGAATCTCTCCCATTGTGACATCAAAGTAGAGATCATCAATTAAATATGTACGTTAATTATCTAGGGATTAGAAAGTAAGTAATTTACTATCAACTAGAAATAATACAGTTTCATTTTGAACAGTGATGAAACAATTATTTCACTTTGTCCGGTTCAACACATGCCGGGTGTGCTAGCACAATAAGTCAAAACAATAACTACAAAAGTTATTCGCTGTTTACTGTGATCAAGACCAATCACTTAAATATTGTGCTACAATCTTTTACCAATGGTTAGTCCATTTCCATCTAGATTGTGAACGTTTATCTTTATATTCTAAACGAACTTTCAAAATGATCTTTCTGTGCGCCGTAGCACACCATTTCGAATACTATTAGAATATTAGACTTATGCTTTTAATTAATTGACAAACAATCAATTAAATGCATTGAATACCCTAGTGCAGATTCTCATAAAATGATAATAAACTATTTTATTAATTCAATAATAAAACTACGAAGCTAAAAACGAGACTTTTAGTCTACTATCCTAACAATCTCCCACTTAGACTCAAAGACTCGCAGCTCAACATCTCTAACCCATCCATAGAACATATCTATAGGGCTATCATCCGATGTAAAAGCACACATTGTATATCTAGCAGAATATGCAATCGCAAAATTGCATAAACCTCCCACTATACGTTTTCACTTCCTTAGGAAAATAAATCTCCCACAGTGATAACATGCTATAGAAAAATTACTATGCTCGACCGTTAATTATTGAGTCGTACCAAGACTATCCGCCTAGTAAACTTGTATATAATCTTGTATCTTTTGAATACTCAAGAATATACTTTACCGCAGTCTAACATACTAGCCTTAAAATAAATTCACATTTGCTAACTATGCAAGATGCAAAGCAAGATTTGAATTTAATTATTTACTATAGCATATGCAAGGCTTCTTTTACAACAAGAATTGCCTTCAACATCTCAATCAAATTACGTGTTCAAAGACACTAATTTCTCGATAGAGTGACTCCGTGACTGAAAGAAACAATCCTTTCTTTGTAAT